ATACAACTAAAGTCAACTCTGATCAGTACACCTGTTTGGAAACTCCAATCCGCGACGCAATTGACTCCAATTCGTAAGTGAACATAAAGTTCATATGTCTCGGCCCAACTTGAAGAGCCGAACCAACTTTAAGACATAAAATCAAAATCGTACTGACAAATTTACAATTGAAACCACATAAAATAACAAACAAAGCATTCAAAAAATTTTAACGCAAAAGGGCAACGCAAATTGAATATAAGTACTTTCCACCGAAGGTTCATAGACATTCCAAAATATATTGGTGTCAATTACATTTAAGCCTTCCATTTTGGTCTTCTGTATAAGCCCATCCCACATCTGTAGACCACCCTTACTACATTATAACCCAAATATTTATGCATTGTTTTCTGGTAATTAATCAATCAATAAGAATATATAATTAAGAGAAAACCTTATTGGGATTATCGGTCACGGAGATGGAGGCGGCAATGATTACAATGGTTGGGTGTGTGGAGGAGGCCATTCACGACAGCGGCTTCAAATCTCTGTAGAAGAAGCAAAGATGTAGATGACACGGCGTGCTTGTTCCCATGTGAAAAGGGTTTTCAGGTTGGCCGCCGCTCCATAACTGCCAATGTGATAAGGGCAACATTCGATTTTGAGGCATGAGTTAAGGTAATTATTTTTAATTAAGGTAGTAAATTAATGAACCTTATCAAATCCTTAAATGAGGGATATATGCAAAGATCAAAATTCCTTTCAAAATCAGTTTTTGAATTAATACGCGATCCGATCTGATCTGATGAAGTAATAACCCTAATACGCAGCAAAATTGGTTTTTGACTGAATGGTTAATTACGTTGAAAAAAAGTTAGATACGTAAAAGAACAGAAAACCCTAATATATTATCCTTTTACTCGAAACTTCAGAAATCTTTCGGATTGATAAGATATGATGGCAGCAGCATCATCAACGCCGAAAAGATATATATGACGGGATTCGATCCATTAAATATCTCGAACACCGGCAACCGCAGTATCAAAGGAAAGCAGCCGACCAACAAATTTTTTTAGGGCAACGTCGTGACAAAGGAACATGATTCAGTAGGCGTACAACTTGAAATTTATCAAATCCTTTAATGAGAGAGATACGGGTAAGATAAAAACCGATTTTCGAACTGATATTTTGAAATAATACCTTATCCGGTCCAATGAAATTGTAAAATCAATTACGCCGGGAAAAATGCCCATATCAGGGAAAGCCATATCCCTAATTACATGCGTAATTAATGAAGGGAAAATCAAACAGATGTTATCCATGGCTTCCTCGTCGACGTAAAGTTTCTGGTAGTTCCAATTTTTAAATATCTTAAGGCAGCAGCAATAACAACAGAAATCAAAGATTTGTCACCGAGTAGAGATCAAGAATTCATGCTAGATTGATATCACTAAAGATTTGTCACTCAAAAGAAGCTGGATTTCATATCCTTCAATTTCAAAGTTTGATGTTTGCCCGATAGATACAGTCAAATTTTGATGTTTTTTCAGGCAATGAAGTGAAGGATGAGCCGGTGATTTTGAAGATATAGTCAGCCGGAAGTCTTGGTGGCCAGAAAAAATCTCCCGGTCAGATTGGTGTGTCGGAAATCGTTGGCCGGAAATGAACCGGTGAGGACGTAATATTGGAAAGAGAGATCTATGTGGCCGGATAAAAATTTCCGGTCAGTTTGATGTATCGGAAATTAAAGGAGTCAAAATTACACTTCCAAGGAAGTAATAATTATTTTAATTAACCATATTACTTGGGTAAAATACAAAGTTAAAAAAGTCCACGAATTAGAAGATGACATGTGGACTACATGAAAGTCTCATCGAATAAGAAGATGACACGTGTTTTTGGAACTTATTAGTGATCTAATAGTGCGACATGTGTCTTGTGAGAAAAATTCCCTTAATATATAGTAAGATTTATTTATCAAATTGATCGATACATACAAGTCTAAATCCTATTACACTTCGGCCACCAAAATCCTATTTGTACTTCAGTAATCCCTCCATTTTTTTTACATGTCTTTCTAGAAAATTCATCAAAACTAAGAACACATTAATTAATGTAGTTAAAATACAAATTTACCCTTACTATATGTCGATAAAACCCATCACAAACCAATAGAAATTCATTATTAATATTGTTTCGTTTCCGATATAAGGGCAATTTTGGTAAAAAGTGGTCAAATGTGCCTCTATTTGTGAAAACGACATATATTTAAAAAAATTTACCAAATATAAAAACGGCATATATTTCAAAATGGAGGAAGTAGTAGTTATTGTGCATCTTGCAAATACCAAAAAAGAAATGCAAATATGTATTTCTGACAAGCCATCATTACAACTAGTCAAATAAATTTACATACTTGACACTAGTAAAGCGGAAAATAGGGTCGAACCCACAGAGAAGGAAAACTAATTATCAGGTATAAATAACTCCTGTTATTATTTAGATAAATGATGGCTTTGAATTCTGAATTATATTAAAATTTTAAACTAAAAACTAAAAATTGAAGTTAACTTTTAAAGTTTAAACAAGCAAGTAAAAGAAAGCTAGGACATTGGGTTCACCTACCGAATATCTAGTTTGATTCTATTCATAGATACTTGACTTTGGACTTCCATTAATCTCGTAACAATTCACCTTTTTAAGAACTATTCACTGTCGTGATATAATTCTCTTACTCTAATTAATCTTATGACTACTGTCGTGACTATATGATATAACTAAAGCACATTAAGATCTTAAGAATTATTAGTTGCAAAGGTTGCGTTCCTACTATAGTGTCTCACTCCCTAAGTTCGATATTCCCATGAACTAATATTAATTTTCAACTATCGTTCCATTAATTAATATCTTTAAACATGCAAGTAGTGGCCAGTTACAAATATAGAATAAAAGCAAGAATATCAAATATTGATCAATGAAAAAATCAAAATATAATGAATCAAATAAACCAAATAAATCTGGTGGCTACATCCAAAACCTAGGTTAAAAAGACTTAGCCACTAAACATCATTAAAAATAATTCAATAATATTTAGAGACATCATCCAAAAACATGAAATTTAATAAATAGATAAAAGCAATAAAACCTGGGAAACTCCTCCGAAACCGAAAGCATAAAACAATTCAATTCAAGGCTTCAGCTTGCTTCGGTTCTCCAGGTTCGGAAGCTTCTTGTCCCCGGCTTGCTGGAAGCTTAAAATCTGAAGATGATGATGGAAACAAGGTGATTGGACTTGGTTCAGAATTGGAGCGATGGTGAAGGGCCGAGAAGCGTGGCTTTTGGTGAGTTTGGTGATTTATGGTGATGATGATGCTATTGCTGTCGGTTTGGTGTGGGAAAAGAAGGCGAAAACGATGCTGCTTGCTTAAGGTCTAATGGTGGTAATGGTGCGCAAGGTTGCTGCAGCAAGGAGCGGAAGGTTGCTTGGTGGGCTGTGCGAAGGAGGACTTGGGCTGCTGGCTGCTTCTGTTGGGGTTTCCATCGGTTGAAGGAGTTGCAGTGGCGGACAGTGGCTTTCGGTCAAGTTCGGTCACAAAAATAAAACTCTAATCCTCCTTTTATATGCTTTCTGTCAAACCCTATTTCTTCAGAAATAAGAAATTTTTTTTCAAGCCAATTGAAATTAAAACTCCCTTGAATGAGTTTATTCGGCCACCGAAATCAAATTGCAAAACTTCTCTTCGGCAAGACACGACAGAAGCTTAATTCGGCCAATTCAATAACAAAATTCTAAAATTGCTCATTAGGTCCTCCAAGTCTAATGCTTCAATTTCTTCCTGTCGAGTTTCTTTTATTAGCCTAAAACTTCAATATTTCTTCCATTTGAGTATAATTCTTACAATTAATGATAATAAAATCACATAAATAACCATTTACACTTAAAATATTGGCAAAATCTCGTGTAAAGAAATATTAAAACTAGATAAATTATGTGCACATCAATTTCGACATTTATTCCTTTTATTTCAAACATAAGTCATTTTGTATTTTGGATATTTAACAATTAATATTTATACTATTAAGTATGAAAATTAATAAGAGATATCATTTTTTTCAGTAAAATGTAAATTTCAGGTAAAAAAAAAAAGAGATAAAAATAAAGAAGGTAGAAATCCAATGGCAAAGGGAAAAGTTTGTTTATTGGGCAAAAAAAAAAAAAAAAAAGGATCAAGTGAAAAAAATATTGAGCCGTCAAGGAAACACACGTATTATGCATAAGATAAAGAAACAAAAGTCAAAGAAAGGGTAAACCGGAAAACTTCTTATTGGAGTCAATGAGTCAGATGTTCGTACAATAAAGTATACATTGTTCTATAGAAAGAAAGGGAAGAGAAAATAAATACTTAACTTATACGACTCGACTCTAGTTGCGAACATTAACCAGCTCTAGAAGCTCTATATTATAATTGGTCTTTCTATAGCACACAACTTTTGATCGTAATCTTCTTAATTTTTCTTCTTTCTTCTTTTTCCAAATTACATTCGATTCACATCTGCTGGGAATATTCTGCTGCCCTTTTACTCCAGCAATAAGTTATAGTTGCTGTTTGAGAGTTTCTTCATTATTGCACCTCATATGAAAGTTTAATACTTTGCTATACTTAAGATATTGCTAAGAATTTTGACTTGACCATGGATGAGAAGCGTACATAATCGCTATCTCATATGATTTCACACACTTTTTCTTTAACTTTGACTCATTTCTTGTGGATTTATTGAGTTAAAAGTGCACATGTTTTATGTTTTATGTTTTATCATTGTAGGGTGAGTAAATGGCATTAAAAGAGTAGGGAAATGAAGAAAAATGAGCCATTATGCTAAAAATGCTCAAGTGGAAAATAAGTTGAACATGACATTTTTTTGAGGAACATAACTTGAGCTACAAAACTCGGATTTGGGTGTTCTTTATAACATTGCAAAGCTTAAAGGAAGAGCTACAACATTGCTTTAGAAGTCCAAATATGATCTTGGGCAAAAGAGGTTCAAATTTGCAGATGAATGTTGCTGGTTGCCCGTACAAACCTGTCGACCTCATCCTTCTCGATCTCAAAGTCAACAAAATCAAACAAAGAGGTCAAGTATTTCACGTCAGCCTTAACGCCAAAGTCAACGTTCACAAAGAGAATGCTCAACTTACTGTCATCGATCTTAACATCGACTTAACCCTTCCTGACGCGAAACTAGACGGTCGTTGCCCAGAATCCGGTGAAGAAATCATCGTGGCTTGCTCTCGCCAAATCCGGTATCCAATCGCGAAAATCAACCAAGGTATTCGTAGATTCGATGATAGGGAGGCTCTTTATGTTGATTTGGACGGCTAAGATGGCATATTCGTCAAGATTGGAGTAGCGGCGGCGGTGAATTCCGGCGGCGGCGGCGGCTGAAATTTTTGAACGAGAGAAAGAAGAAGAAGACTTCTAGAAATTGCACTAAAACCCCCGTGTCAAAACGCCCTTGCAAGTAAAGGTTCCACCTTCGAAGCGCCTTCAACTTCAACTCCAAATGTCGTGCAAATGAACCCCACAAGTCTATGAATTCTCCACTTTCAATGACGACTAATTGTGCCTATAACTTTGCTGTAATTGCATTTTAACTCAACGCATCCCTTCCCTATAAATACCATAATGTACACGAATTTGAGCACTTTTATCTCATTTTTCAGTATCTTTAATAGAAGTTCAAGCTTTGTTCTTCATTCCTTAGTTTAGGGTTTATTTATTTACTTCAATTTAGTTAGATTTACATTTTAATTAATTAAAGGGGAGAGAAAGAGAGAAAGAGATGATTTGTTAGCCATTTGGGGACCTTTGAAGATGGAGATTTGAGCATGAAGATAGGAAAGTTTGGAGTGCCATTGGGAGACCAAAGTGCCAACTTTCCTTTCAAGTCTTGAAGCCCTTGGTCCATTTTGTTGTTTGGATTTCTTTTCCTTTTATATGGCTAGTCGATTCCTCCTATTGAATTGTGATTGTTTACCCCATGGATTGATAATATAATTAGTAGATAATTCCATCGTTGACTTAATATTGGATTATTTATTTGTTGTTGAATGTTTTACTTGATTGTATTGGAGAGGGAAAGATTGATGAGTGAGTTTACTTATGATCTTTTGGAGGAAAATTACATAGGCAGGGAGTAGCTTGTGAGATTTAGGACCCATTAGAGGAAAGTTAACTCATGGAAAATCGAAAATCGGGCAATACTTAAGGTAGGTAATGACATTCACGGTGATAGTAATGGGAACATGACGAATTGAGAGTTTGGGGTTGAAGAACGGGATTAGTTAGTCCACTTTAGAATGGAAATTCGGAAAGTTGAGAGTTACTTAGCGGCACAACGGGTAACTTAGGTTTGATTTGTACTCTACTACTAATAAGGTTGGTAAATCGAGGTCAAATGGGTTGAGATTGCTAATTAGTGAGATGGGTGACGAGCGCTTGTGAGCCTAGGAACAAATAGGGCGAGGGAACCCGACCTACTTTGATTGAGACAACTAATTAGCTAAGTAGTGACAACTTACCTTATGCTCCTATTATGGAGACTTTCCTTTTTGATGAAATAATGAGAATGGTTTGAAAGTGAAATCTATGGGGTTATCGAAAGTAATTCATAGGACCCTCAAGTATCTCGATTTCTCCCCTTTACATGTTTCTTTTTTTTTTTTTATGTTTTCTTGATTTAAATAAATTTAGTTACCACCATATTGCCATTTACCTTTTGTTTATTAGAGTGTCTTAATGGTTCAAATCACTACTATCCTCGTGGGATCGACCCTTAATTGCACAACACGACGGGCCTTCACTTGGGCCTTGAGTGCATGTGAACGAGGTTTATTTATTTGTTTGTTTGCATGTGAGTAATTTTATATGTTCAAATATGCACAGAACAACCACTCTACCTGAAAATCTAAAATATGACAGTTTCTAATTTTGCTGTATCGTGCGAGGGTATTTCAGCACGATGGTAGTATGCTAGTAGTAAGTTAGAATGGATCGTACAAAGCATGCACTAATTTCCTTAAAAAATGATTATTAATTATACAAGCAGGTACAGAATGTTTTATGAAAGTGACTTTGGAGTGAGGAGTTGAATTCTGTAGTTAAGAGATATTTGTTTGATCTGGGAATTTTTTTTTTTAAGCATCTAATGTTTGTCGATTCGTCTGTCGAAAAATGGTTTGGTGATCCAGATCAATAATCGAAAACGAAACAGTAACGACATTTTCTACAACACAGAAGAAACATTCAGTTATCAAATCAGCTTTAACAACCCCATCTCGTCATCACTTCTACCAAAACTGAGCTCCAAACCTCAACGGATTATAGAAGATTGAACAAAAATAGAAGTAGAATTGATCGCAACAACTGCAAAAACGATAATCAGTTCAAGCTTGACTTAACCATACTGTCACTCTTGTTTACTAAACATAATTTAGATTAATGGAATCACTGTCATTATCAATAACTTTTACATATCATATACTGCTAGTCATATAGACATTTATCATGATTCCTAATAACATCACAACTTCGAGAGGGAAAAGAAGATAGTGTATTGCCAATGATTTTTGGAAGGTAAGTTGAAATGTTCTTACGCAGCAATATCAATGATTTTTGACGCCACAGTTAGCAACGATTAGAACGTCCGATTCAGCCCTGCAAGATTCACAACAATGAGGAGCTTGTTTATAAGTTGTATTACCAAAACCAGATCAAGCAGTTGCAATTGAAATGAGCCAATCCATATTTTGTGCCTCATTATCCAGATATCCTTGAGCTACAACAATTTTACTTGAGCTATCCAAAGTTATGAATGTCAACACAACTGTGGTTTTGAAAAGCTTCCAGTCCATGGGAATTCCTAAGAATCATCTCTTCCATCATTTAAATCAGCGAAATCACAGAGGCAACTTCTCGGATCCGTCAAATGTGGTATCAACTCCACTTGAATTAAAAGCCTTTGGATCATATCAAGTCGTTTGTAGACCATATTTCAGATCAAGCCTACAAAACCCATACCTACACGGCTACACCTCAGGATTCAGAACACCGGTTAAAATCTAGAGGACTGGAAAAGTTAGTTACTACAGTCAAAAAAGCAGCTGAAAATGTTGAAGTGTTCAGAAATCTGGCTCTGCGGTGGCTACCAAATGGACGTATATACATACATATACGAAAAATGACACAAATATACTCCCAAATTAGTAGTGTAAGCAGGACTATGGCTAGGTTTTCGGAGGTAGAAAGAAATATGTTTCTCGCATTTGGCAAATGCGAACAAATCAACTTCCGCGTTCAGCAAATGCGAAAATGTAGTGGATTAATTACAATGCATTAAAGACGTTGGATTAAAACTGGATAATTATAATTAACTTAATCGTTCGCATTTGGGGTATGCGAAATCTAACTTTTCGCATTTGGCATATGCGAACGTATTAAATCTGCATTTAAAAATTGTTTCCTAACTTTAAATTGGTATTAAAATGAAATGTTGTAAATTAAATATTTTGGTTGATAAAATGTTGTAATATTTCAACAAAAAAATACTATTTTAATTGAAAATTAAATTTTCTAAATTAAAAGTATTCATTTGATTTAAGTAAATTTATGTTAGTTCTAAATAGAATTGCAATCCTAAAAATTATATTTGGTGAACAGAAATCGTTTAATGCATTTATAATAAAATTTGAATAAGAAGTAAATTAAAATTTCGGTGAAAAATTAGAATATAATCTTGCGTTCTGTAACCAAGTTTGCTTTTAAAAAAAATGACTTTTATTTGATTTCAATTTAAAAACTTACCATCATTAAAAATATAATGTCAAAAAATCAAGTTTATTAATTTTAGGATAATAATATTTTTTACATAATAAAACTTAGAATCAATTCATTTAAAGTAAGGAAAAAACTAAATTTTTAGAATCGACATAATCAGTCCGCTAAACTTGATAAAACCACACTTCCTTCTAACAATGATCTTTTGGCGACATGGAAACTTGAATTTGGCACGACGAAAAGATAGTATTGTATAAAAGTAAGTTAAAAAATTGTACATAATATTGTCTTTTGAGAAATTATCTTCTTTAATGTTTGCCTTTTAAAGTTTTTTTTTTATCTTAAAGATTAAATAAAACCGAAATAAATTGTTAATGAAAATAAATGAAAGGTATTGCTTAAAACTAATAACAAAAGTCATAAAATAGCATAAAATAAAAGTACAATTCAATCTAATAGTTCTACATCTTGCGCTTTTCTCCCGAGAATCATCATGCAGCACTTTTTCTTCTTTTTTATGTTCCGCTGTCCCTTACCCAAAGCAATCGGTGTAAAAGGCATGGTATCATTACTGGGGCCCTGTCCCTGATCAGCGCCCTCATAATGATCATGAGAGGAATGCTCAACATCATCAGCATCATCATCATGCTCCTGATCCCCAATATCCTCATGATTTTGATCATCTTCCTGATCATGATGGATATCGTCACCACCTAGATGCTGACTATGATGACCACCCTCGTAACTAGTCTGAAAGAAACCCCCAGCATTAGGATCTAGATTAATAAAATCTGAATCAAAATGCATTTGCTCAAAAGGAGGAGAGGGATGGTGGTGTGGCGATGATGGACGGTAAGGAGACACATGGGGGGTAGAAGATTGCCCGCCGGTATTCTGGGTGGCCACAGGTTTTCTCATTCTCCCACTCCCTAACTGGAAGCCGCCTCGGTCAGTCCTGGGAGGCCTAGGTGGGATATACTCCTGGGTTGGGTCAGCTGGAACAAAATCTTGGCTTGGGTTCTCACTATCAGCCCAAACAGATGTCTTGCGACGATCATTACTGCTTGTGTCAAATCGTGCAGCTGTAGGAAGGCATTGTGATTCCAAGAATCAACTGGATTACGTTGTAGCCCATCTAGAGTAATATGCCGCATGTTTTGCACTAAATTGGCCTGAAAATTATAAAAGAAAATAAATATATATGGTAAATTAAAAATATATAATAAATATATTTTATAAATGAACATATATATGGTAAATTAAAAATAGGAAATAACATTTTAGAAAGTTATATGTATAAAAATCATATTAATATGGGTGTGATTAAAGAAATAGTAGAACTGTAACTTACCATTATATGTAGTGACTCGCAGATCCCCGAAAACCACGGGCCGACGATAGTCGATGGATTGGTGACCAAAGTGACAGTGTGATTTTGATACCACACTAGATATTCCGGTGCTGCCTGGGGTTCAAGAGTCATATCCGTCTGATGAAGACCTGCAAGGGTGTTGTGTCGATTCTCCCACCTCTGTAAGACGTCATCTCGACATTTCTTACCACGCGTCTCCTTATGCAACTTTTCTATTTCTTTTTTCTCCATGATGAAAGTGTTGTCAGGCACGCGCTGCAAGAAGCCGAACTGGCGCAACACCCTGCCTGGGATGTGTGGCTCTCGGATACCAAAATAAAGCAGCCAAGTCTGGGACATCCAGATGGCGGAGCCGGCAGAGCAAGATGGATCAATGTCTGCTAGAATAGCAGGAGAATACGGCATCCAAACAAACTGTAGAGGGACAGATAATACAAAAAATTTATGTGAATATATAAGAAAAAAAATAAATTGATTTATACGTTATGATGGTTCCAATAAAAAATACTTACATTATGTTCTTGCAAAACCGCAAGCTGGTCTCGATAGGCGGTTAGATTAAATCGTGTGATGTCTCCCACTTTTCTAGGACGGTTCCACCTACAAAAAAATATAGTTTTGATTGAAAAAACGGAAAAAAATTATTAAAAAATATAACTAATTAAGATAATTATTGAATAGTTAAAAATTAATTACCTCCTGCCCAAGGGACACCCCTGAAGATCTGGTACGGGCCCACGTAACTCCGGACGGAAAGTCAATATCCACTCCCAAGCCCATAACTATTTTGCAATAAAATAATACGTGAAATTAAAAATACAAATACAATAATTAAAAAACTAAAAATAAAATACAATTATAAATATTAGGATTCTAACAAAAAATTACAAATAAGAAAAATAAAAATAAATCGAAAAAAATTAAAATAAAATGAATAAAAAACTAACAATCAAATACAAATACAAGGGCGGTTTGAAATTACCTGTAAGAGTAGTAAGCAGCCACAAATACCCTGTCCAGACAATGTGATCACTGAGGAAGTGCATAGATTTCGGTACAACCACGCCAGTGTAGCACTACCCCAACTAAACTCCCGAAATGTATTTGGGTCCTCCAAATACCCCACCAGGCCCAGGGGAAAACTGTTTCTGCTGCTATCAGGAAACAATAACCCTCCTAAAATCCATCCGACAAAACAACGTGCCCGCTGAAGGTACATATCCTCTCGTAGCATCTCCGGCAGCGATTAGTCATAATGTGTCTCTTTATATCCGTGATGTTTACTACCTTATCCTTCGTGGCCTTAGGACGCCGTCGGAATCCAAACAGACTCTCTAAATAATCGGCCCACTCCACATCCTCGCGGAGGTACTGTCCCTGGACCACCGCATGGCCATCAACCCGAGACCTGAAGGACCTCGACATCCCGTAGAGTAATCGTCGCTCTCCGATAGGCAAGTGAAATGAATGGGTCTCAGCCGCCATCGCTCAACTAAGGTGTAATGAGGGCCCAATCTAACTTAATGGAACCAATTCGAAAAAGAGGCCCTAGACCAAACTTTGCTATTTGGGCATGTATCTGTGGGGCAGCCTTGTCTAGTTCAGGCCATAGGTCAGTATCCACTCGGTATGCGGAAAGTTCTTTCAAATAAGCCGTATTACCCCTAAATGTATGGAATGACCTATGATCATCATGAAGGACCAATAAACTCTTATCTATAGGACCCTACTGGAGGTCATATTGTCTAGACTGCGAAGACGATGATGATCCCGTCTCCATACCCTAAATAAAAATAATACAAACAAATACAAATACACTAAATAAATATAATACAAAACAATACAAATACAATCAAATACAAACAAATACAAATACAAATACCCTAAATAAATATAATACAAAATAATACAAACAAATACAAATACACTAAATAAATATAATACAAAACAATACAAATACAAACAAATACAAACAAATACAAATACAAATACCCTAAATAAATATAATACAAAATAATACAAACAAATACAAATACACTAGATAAATATAATACAAACAAATACAAATACCCTAAATAAATATATACAAACTAAAACAAATACACTAAATAAAAATAATACAAAACAATACAAACTAAAACAAATACACTAAATAAATATAATACGAAATAATACAAATAAATACAAATACACTAGATAAATATAATACAAAAAAATACAAATACCCTAAATAAATATATACAAACTAAAACAAATACACTAAATAAAAATAATACAAAATAATACAAATACCCTAACTACATTAAATAAAAATAAAACACAAAAAAAAAAAATACAACGCCGGCCGACAACAACGCCGGCCGACAACAACAACAACAACAACGCCGGCCGACAACAATGCCAGCCGACAACAACAACAACAACAACAAAAACAACAACTCCGGGCGATCTAAATTCGCCGGCCGTAAATGCGAACAAATCAATTGAATAAATAAACTAGAACAAAAACGAAATAACACGACATAAATCTGAAAATAAACAAAGCATTATGAAAGTACAAAACACTTACCTACCTTTTGTGGAAGAGGCGACGGGAACAATGGCTGAAAACCGGGAAAACCGACGGGAGCGAGGAGGCGCCGGCTTCAATGGTGAAAACCGGGAAAACCGACGGGAGAGAAGTGTACTTCAGATTTAGATCTGAAGTTGTTCGCATTTCCCGTATGCGAACTAAACCCGATGATGCCACGTGGCGCCGTGGCTGATTACAAACTTTCGCATTTCCTTATGCGAATAATCGACTATACGGAGTCCGGAGATGACGCCACGTGGTGCGACCTGGACAGCTTCATATTGTTCGCATTTCCTTTATGCGAAATATTCGTGGTCCCGGGAACAGTCTAGAAACTACAACAGTTACTAATGTTCACATTTACTAATGTTCTTTGACAGTACACAAATACAAATATAGACTTGCATATTGTTCGAATTATTACACAAACCAATACCAAATACAAATTCAGAATTCTTAGACTCATTACACAAATACAAACTCAGAATTAATCAAACCATTACACAAACACTACCAGAACCACTATTTAAAGATTATTCAGATTATTACGCAAACAAACTTTGAATTCCTACTCAGAATTCTGCAGATTGATCATCAGAATCATCAGTCTGCATATGGGGTACACCATGCATTCCATATCGATCGTAAGAATGATTCAAAGGAGTCCTGTCTGAAGATGGATGTGAGAATGCGCAGTTGAAGGTATCATGATCGAATCCTCCACATCGCGCGCAAACTTTCTCAACTACGCATGCACTGGCATTATGGCCTTCTTGATGACATCGACCACAAACTTGAACTCTCTTCTTACCAGATTTTTTCGTATAATCCATAAGTCCTTTCTTTCGATTCACACGCTTCCGACCTGGGCCAGCATGGTGTACGAGTAACGTATCATCAGGCCTCAGATGCCACGTCGCTTGTGGCCATGGTTGAAGGACTGGGTTGAATTCTCCAGAAAACTGAATAGCCCATTGTTCCCTACTATAAAATGAATCAAAAAGCGGTAATGGATCATGACGTAGATACTGCAACAAAGAAGCGCATGGGAGCAAGGAAACCTGTATGTCTGCCACTTGTTACATGTGCACATCCTGGCGGCGTAGTTTACCTCATGGATATTTCCACCCTTCCATGGCCGATCAGGTGGTGAGTACGTGACCACTTGGTACTTCTGATTCCTCTTGCTAAATCTGGTAACCTCGTGACCCATCTGATGTATACGGTAATCCTCATACCATTTCATGGGATTCGTCGCGAGGGGTGAATGGCATTTGTCAATTTCATCAATGTTTTCCTGAAACAACTTGTTAGTCTTATACAATGTGGCAAGAATCAAAGCAGTGATAGGGAGCATCCAGAACCTTTAAGACATTATTAAAACTCTCGGATATGTTCGAAGTCATTTCTCCCCAACGATATCCCCCGTCCCAATAACGGGTACACTTCTCAAGACCGATTTGCTGAAGATATATGGCTGCATCTCTATTTTTACTTTCTAAATTCATCCATTCTTTTCAAACTTCCCTTTTGCAACATTGAACAAGCCCTTTGACAAGGTCTTTTGAGTTTCGCCAGAAAATTGCCAGCTAAATTTGCTTTGATGTGCTGCAGACAATAACGGTGCACTCCCATCCCTGGAAATTTATCAAGCATAACATCCATAGCAGCAAGAATACCTGTATGGATCAGAGATAATGCATGTCTCCTTGTCAAGTAGAACAAATGTTTTCAGGTATTTAAGGAACCATTTCCAGCTGTGCAATGTCTCTTTATCCACGAGAGCAAACGCGATGCGAACAATTGTGTTATTCGAGCACTTCACACATGCCACGATCAATGTTGCTTTGTATGAACCTCGGAGGTGGGTGGCGTCGACGGTTATGACCGGCCAAGCAGCTCTAAATAAATGTATAGCTGGCCCAAATGCCCAAAAATGTACTGCACACCTTCTTCTTCCGATTCTTGGTATCTTTAGTGAACTTAAACGCATACGGGTATCCGGGTTCGCTTTGAGCAATGCTTCCGAAAACTGGGCGTTGTTGAAAGTTGTTTTCCCATGTGCCATACAGACTCTCAAGTGCTTTTCTTCGACCATGCCATGCCTTTTTGTAATTGGGGGTGACCCTGTATCTCTTATTTACTTCGACTTGGATCTGTGCGACTGAATAACCTGGATCTTTTTGGACATTGGCTGTGATCAATCGAGCAATCATTGTGGACGTCAAGTTACGACCTTCGTTTCTTGTGGTTGCACCAAGACAGTTGTGGCTTCGACCCATACCACCATTCTCCAAGTATTTGTGTCTTTTTGCAGGGTAGCTCGACATTTCCACAAGCAAGTAGTGCCGTGGAGAAGTTCTTCTGGGTACTTCGGCCCTTTCGTCTCGCATTCAGCGGCCCACGTATAGGGACGACTATATTTTACCCGACATGCCCGACCCTGTCGCAATGTCCATTCCCCCACGGCTGTTTGTACCTCTTTCTTGTTAGCAAAATGTACACCATGTCTAACCGTCGCCAATTACCGTCCCACATTGTGATCCCATCGAATCCTCAACCAGTTCGAGACTTGTCCATGTCATCGATGTCATCAAAAATAGAAATTACTACTGAAGATGCGTCATGGTCACTGTAATCATCATCTGACTCATCGGACGGCACATACTCCTCGTCACTGTTCCCATGTACGTCATCTTCTGTGTCATCGTCATCTTCATTGGTACCACCAACACCACTACTCCTCGCACCATCATACTGACCACCAGTAGTTCCTTCCCCAACATCTTGAACAGGTTCATCTGCAACCTCTACGTACAATGCTGGACGCAAATGGGCACCTCGGTAAATCCATGACATTGACTCGTCGTCTCTTATGGGCGCTTGCCCCCTTCTGCCGTACTCATCTGTGCAGACTAAAACATATTGTAGAGGAAGTATTTGTTGGTTCTCATATTCTAACAGCCTGTGTACATAATTATCAAGTTCAGAGAAACTCCACACTCGATCGATACAAACTATTGCATCGGGCGTAAATAACTTCTCCCCATATCGCCAACATGATCGATCACTAGACCAGAATATATTCAGATCAAAGGGACCCGGAAAAGACATATTAAGGGCCTGCACATTTAATTTTTATTCAATTAAACATACAAATACATCAATTCATGCTTGTTATAGCAATATTCTACCTCACTAGCAGTAATTTACTCCAAAAACTAACAATAAGTCCTATCTTTAGTGAAAAATCTCTAACATAATTTAATTATTCAAAAAATATAATTCGACATCTATATAACAAGGTTTTCAATTAAAAGAATAACAATTTTTGATCAAACTAATAAATTTAGATTTACACAATATATTTGATAAAATACAAAATTAACAAAATAAAAACAAATAAAACAGGGTCAAATCAATAACATTACAAATAATTGGGTCGAATATAAAATTCACAAAATTGATGAATAAAGACCAAAAATTCGAGATCAACCGGTTATTCTCTAAATTAATAAAATAACTCATAATATTCAACAAAATTCAACAATTCACATTATAAAAATAATTTTTATTCTTCATTCTACATCAAATATATATTTATTGAAGCAAATTTTCTAAAACCAATTCTCAATAACTACCGAAATTAATAAATTTAGTAATTTCGTACACTACAACAAGATTAATAGCCCCAAATGACAATAGAATGTATAAATTTTACAAATTTCATAGAGAAAAAAAACTTACCTAAATGGGTTGCCTCTGTCTTGCTCCCGTGCAGTCCAACCTTCCAACCTTCAATATGAAAAATGCCTCTTTCCAGCTCCGCCTCTTCCACCGGAATGAAAATTTCAACTGAATGCAAGAAGAATTGATGATTTTAGTTCTGCCGAATTGGGGGTGATGAGTTTTAAATTATGAGTCTAGCCATCACATTCGCATTCGCCAAATGCGAACATTTATCCAAATTGTCAGCAACTGCCACGTGTCGATATGCTATTGACCAGTCAGATTTTAATAGGATAAAAAGATAATTTCGTTTTTTTTTTACCTATATTTTTCTGTTCGCATTCGTTGAATGCGAAAGTATTATGATGGCCCACACTTTCCTCTTTCCTTTCTCTTTCCGCTTTAATTTATTCAGGTTATTATTTTCGCATTCGGCATATGCGAACTCTGGGTGATGGCCCACACTTTCCTCTTTCCTTTCTCTTTCCGCTTTAATTTATTCAGGTTATTGTTTTCGCATTTGGCATATGCGAACTTTGGGTGATGGCCCACTTCGAATTATCTCATTTGTCTTTATTATTTGTTTAAGTTTAACTAATTAATTACGTAAGGTTGTTCGCATATGGTAAATGCGAACATCAGTTTCTTCGCATATCCCAAATGCGAGAAACTCATAAATTGCTACCCCTCCAACCCTAAGAACACTTTTTTCTACTAACTAAAATTTGAGTATATTAAACTCACGGACCCCATACATATATATATATATATATACACACACATATATATATATATATATATATATATATATCTGTATTAATAAGTCTTAGGGCAAAAATAACAACGGGCCACTAGTTTGATTTTTTTTTGGTCTTGAACCCAAATAGTTCTTCGGATACAAAATGATGCGGTCTACTGAAATGAAGTGTCGAAAGCTTGGGTCAGGTATAAAAATGTCCAAATTATTTCAGGCTCTTTTTTAATATATATATATATATATATATCCAAAATATATATATATATATATATATATTAAAAAGAACACTTTTATACCTGAAAATATATATCCTATATATCCAAAATATATATATATAGATATATTTTGCATTCTTTTTCGTGCTGCTATTTTTTTTTTTCAAAAAAAAATGTTGGGGGTGTTGAAACATTGGACCTTCTTCTAATATATAAACACTCAAACAGTATTGAACAATGAATAATGGGAAGTTTCAAGGTTTGAATCTCACTAATTGTGAGATAAGATGGAGGAAAGTTTGTGTTAAAAATAAATTAACGAGCATCCCTCCAACACTAACATCTTACTATATTAGAAACAAAAACCACACTTAAGAAAAAAACACCACTATTTGTCATGTGGCATTTCCACATTATATTTTTAAAATAAATTTTTATTTACACATCAGTTTCCTAGGCTTAAAAGTCAAATACAGTCCAAATCCACCACCACTTTCTATTTTCGCCAAAAAAAAAACACGGCTTCATAAAAAACACACAAATCCTCATCTCCATCTCCACGACAATCGACTCCCTAATCAATCCCTTCTCCACAATAAAAAAAAAAAACAAATTCCTCATCAATTAGCAATTAAGAATATGTGGTGAAATATACTTCTTTCTTATTAGCATGTTCAATCTTTTCTTACTATATTAGAAACAAAAACCACACTTAAGAGAAAAACACCACCATTTGTCATGTGGCATTTCCACATCATATTTTTAAAATAAATTTTTATTTACACATCAGTTTCCTAGACTTAAAAGTCAAATACAGTCCAAATCCACCACCACCTCCTATTTTCACCCCAAAAAAAACACGGCTTCATAAAAAACACAAATCCTTATCTCCATCTCCACGACAATCGACGTCCAAATCAATCCCTTCTCCACAATAAAAAAAAAAAAAAATTCCTCATCAATCATCAATTAAGAATATGTGGTGAAATATACTTCTTTCTTATTAGCATGTTCAATCTTTTCTTACTATATTAGAAACAAAAACCACAGTTAAGAGAAAGCACCACCATTTGCCATGTGACATTTCCACATCATATTTTTAAAATAAATTTTTATTTACACATCAGTTTCTTAGAGTTAAAAGGCATATGCAGTCCAAATCCACTATCATCTCCTATTTTTGCCAAAAAAAAAACACGCATTCATAAAAAACACAAATCCTCATCTCCGTCTCCACGACAATCGACTCCCTAATCAATTCCTTCTCCACAATAAAAAAAAAACAAATTCCTCATCAATCATCAATTGAGAATATGTGGTGAAATATACTTCTTTTTTATTAGCATGTTCAATCTTTTCATTAGTGATGATCAACTACATCATAATCAGATAAAATTTCGACTTCAAAAAATATTCTCTTTACCTCTCTATATAAACACAAAGGGAAAAAAAAAAATTCTCATTGATGTTGCTTTTGGCCGTTGTGGTGGTGCCATTACAGATATTAAAATTTAAATATTTTTATATCCATAGATCATTTGTACGGCTTTTATTATTTTTTATTTTTCCCGTTGAAGAATAGTGTTATTACTATTATTTTTATGCGTCCACCCGTTACAGCTACCGTAGCCGTTGCCAGGTAATATGATGTGATTTCTTATATGGTTAGTCAGCTTAGAATTTTTGTATGATTTTATTTCTGTTTTAATTGAATTGATCAATTGGGTTTTTGTCAAGAAATGTTTTTTTTTAATTTCTTTTTTATGTTTTATTCATTTAGAGTGGTTTTCCTTTTCTTTTTTTAATTATGGAGTTTCAGTTTTTTTTCGTGTATGGTCAGTTATGAATTGTGTTTTTTCTTGTTTAATTGCTTTTGATTTTATTTCATACTCTCAGTTGACCAATTATTATTATTATGATTATTATTTCTGCAAATGAAGCGCGTTTTTTTGTGTTTGGAATTTCAAGAATATACTTTTTGGATTTGGTTTTTGGACTTTTTTAAATTACTCATCATATAAATGGTTCAGGTCGCTTCTTCCAACTAATTTATGGGGAAGACTTTTATGAATTTGAGGTGGAGAGGAAAGGAATGATGTTTTTACGTTTATTTATGTTTTATACATCATTTTTACCTACAGGAAAAAAAATTTCTCAATTTTTAATGGACTCTTTTACTTATTTTTTTTTATTTGCCATTGTGAGGCGAGTTCTTTTTTGCTATAACTTGAAACCTATGCAAATTTTCATTAATTTTCATTCTCATATTTGTTATCAACCAGTTTCAACAATTACTCAGTTTCAAAATCATATTTTTGATATTTTACTAGCTATAAGCCTTTGGAAAAACAGTTCCAACAATTAAACGTATATCCTTCGGAGGAAGCTTACTACAAAGCTATTATAAATCTCTAAAACCAAGTATTGATTTGGCACGACAAATGGAGAACATCAATAAATCATCTTACTAATCTTTAAACTTATTAAGATGCTTTTATATTTTGTCTAACTTTTACTTCAAGAGATATACTTGATCAAGTTTATTTATATTTAATAAGTAACATTTATAAAATATTTCTAAAATATTCAAACATTTCTAAAACGTACTGGGCCAAATACACTTTCTTTTCTTTGCCAAATACAAACATTTCTATGATCACACTTATAAAATATTTCTAAATTCTTCAAACATTTCTAAAATATATCGGGCCAAATGTAAAATATTTTTTTTTTCAAATACAAACATTTCTAAGATCTACAGATATATTGGGCCAGGGTCGCGTATTGCGCGACCAGACATCACTAGTCTTAAGACAAGGGAAATCAATCAATCATCACCAGAACTTGTCCACCCTGACTGTGTTGAACAAACCGAATTCAGGGACTTAGATTGTAAAACTGTTCTTTTTCATCCGTTTCCTGTTTGTCTTATACATTCAACTGCTCTACTCAATAATTTTTTCAGCACATTAAGATTCAGGCGAATATCAAATTGTGGAAATCTTGCTCTAAGAGAAGCCCGACATTGTAAATCTTTTCAGGGTCTCTGGGAGATTTTAGTCACCAGTTTCACAATTGATCATCTCCACGGAACCCTGTTGACTCAGGAACCTAATCTCTGCTGTCTTTTATGCTTCTTGTCTAAACTTTTAAGAGTCTGAGATATTGCTTCTTAACTTACAAACATTTCAAATCTTTTGGAGTAGAATGTGTGTCCAAATCATCATCGCTTCCGAGATAATGAACGAACATCAAAACCACCTTGCAATTTCCAACACCGCTAGAACTAGAAGAGGAAAGAAGTTATTGTACTCTACAACAGAGTCTTCGCTTGGCAAAAGGTTTTGGTTGAAAGCAAATCCTCAATGTGGTATATTGGTGAACATCTGGGGGGTGTGCGAGCCAATAGTTCT